CCACATCCTTATCTGATTTCGTGTAAGATTTCTGAGATGGAATTGTAGCTTTTAAAATAATGCCTGAAGAATTAATAGGTAGGCAGTCTATCCTAAAAGCTCACTCATTAGAGAAAATAATCTTGGTCAAATATTATACTGGGATATTGCTATTATACTATTTGATGTTTTGGTATTTTTCTTAACGCAAAGAAAAATCCTCGTGTCATATTTTCTCAGCTCTAGCTATAACTAGTCAGTTTCCACAATCTATAAAGTATTTGCATTTACAAATCAATTAGTATTGTCGCGTGACTCATAGCATGCATCATGGTTGATTAGACACAAGAACACATTTTAGAATTACACCTTCTAACAGGTACCAGGTACTTTAATTTAGTCCTTGACAATATACTTTTGGTCCAAGATTGTATAAAATTTTTCATTTCTTCCAGTTGGTACATACATTAATCCTATAATTCCTTGATCTTTTATACATAAGACTGTTACTTGTGTAACTGCTTTTCACCCGACTGTGCCAGAAGGAGGGTCATTAGTTTTAGATTATAGAGCTTTGTCAGTCTGTCCAATATTAAACATAAATGTAATAATTATACGCATGTTTAAAATTATTAATCTAAGTAAACAAGTGGCTGTGTCAAGCATGCCGGTGACTCAGGGCCGGGGCATGTCACCAGTTCACCACTCCCATACTTAGCATACAATAATTCTATGGATCACAGGCGTGTTGTGAGAGAAAACTTAATCCCGACTGTCAGAATATGTTCCATTTTGGACCTTAAGTACTACGACTCTACATGCTTTGTACAGTCGACGGCACATCAGACTATACTTACTTTTCTTTAAATTAGAACTTATTACATCTTAATATTAAGACGTCTCAGTATTTAGCTTAATGTGCTGTTAAAAAGTAATCTCTACCAGCGTCATAAGCTCGTAATCTTAATAATCAAACTCGAGCCTACGTCAAGCCTATGATAGGTTCAATATATTTTTATAATTCTAAACAGCAAAAAGTACAGTCATCGTCAAATAGTTCGTGACACCTAAAGTAGATAAAAAGTTCGCAACACGTCTTGTTACAGATGGAATAAGGTTGTGTTGCTGCTCTAGTAGGTAAGTCCAGTCAGCGTCAGAAAGAACCACTGTTCTTAACCGGTGATCCGCGGACCACTGGTGGTCCCTGGAGGCATTCCAAGTGGTCCACGAAGTGCACTTGCACACCTTGGTCAAAACCACTTTTACAGGTTTTTGCAGTCAAACTGGTTTTGACCGATTATGAGGTGGTCCCTGACAAGACAGAAATTTGGTAAAATGGTCCCTCATGACTTAAAGGTTAAGAACCACTGTACTAGAGAGATATAAAAGATTACTTACTTATCTAAATAAGTAGGTCTTACAGAAGTTCTAAAAATCTCTTAAAAGTAATATTGTGTCGTCTCTTTGTAAACTGAATGAATATATTTGCGGGTAGCCACAAAATTGCAGCCTATAACAATTTCACAGACCGTTAAGAGCCGCGGAATACTTTTATAGTGCTAGATTTACCGATAGATATCGAGAGAATACTAGACTTTCTAGCAATTTAAATTTAATTTAAAACCTACTAACTTACCAACTAAAATAAAAGGTAGTTTGTTAGTTATAAGGTTAGGCTGGAGTGAAATGGATACAAGAGGTCAGGGACAGAGGTCGGTGGAGGATTGAAGAGGAGGCCTATATGTTCGAAGGCCCCCCCTAAAGGCTGATATAGACAGGTAGTTATAATAAAGAAAATAAGAGCTCTTCATCTTCTCCATCACAGAACACATACAATTTTGTAAAAGCATACGCAACATCTTGAATTAAACTAAGATAAAAAAGTTAAAGAAAGCAAATAACCATTTCATCAAAAGCTGTTTTTTTTTCTTTATTCAGAAAACCACAGCTCTTCATAATATTATTACAAGAGTATTTTTACAGTTCTTACAGCCAATAATTTTAAAAAATGATTTAAAAAAATAAGCCACAATTACACTTCTCATTACACATACCCCTAGCATTAAAAATTATTATAGTAGCATTAAAAAATAATTATAGATATCTATAAATAATGCATTTAACCTCTGACCTCTTCTTTACTTCAAACTAAAAGGTATCTATCTCCAAATTGATTTTAATTATAAATAATCTGCCTACGAACCCAATCCAATGCTATTAAAGAAAGATATTATTATAATATTGTAATAATTCAATAAGAATGTAACGGAGGAAACTTTTTTTGGTATTTATTTATTGCAAATACGATTAAAACAGTTCAAAAATGAGCTTATTCTAAAGTCGTAATAAAAACTTTATTTTAACATTAGCTTTACAAACTTGTTGAGAAATATTTCTAAAAGCTGCTAAAATCCAGGAAATCGACTTTCCAAGATATCTAACCTTGTAAGGAGCTCGTTAGGCAAGTAAAATGTTTTTTCTAGCTAGATGGTAGATATTCAATCTTTAAGGCGTTTATACATCACCTTTATTGTCCCATAATGCTTTTAAAGTAAACATAGCCTCCTCAAGACGAGTACAACCGACTTTATAAAGACCGAGGTGATATTGTTGATTTGAGCAAAATAGTACTTATTTGACAAGTACTCGTACATACATTATTTGTTGGGGAGTTAGAAGAAAAAAGGTTCAAACGAGGTAAAAGATAAATATTACTAAAATTAAAGGCTTTATTTCATTAATTACTATTAAATAGATAAAATTAAAATATTATACATAGAAATACTTGTAATTTAATTAATGTAATTTTAATTTAAAATTTACGTAATTTAAAGAAAGTTTGCAATTTTGACACTAGTAGCAGTGGTACGGCAAAACTTACACTGTGACGTCTATTAGAACTTTTGATAGCTCTACTGAACAATAATAATTTTGAATGTTTTTATACATACTCGGGGCAGACTGTACCCGTCTGATAACGAAGCTTGAATAAACAGCTATACAGAATCACCGTAATAGTATTTCCGCAATTTGATTAGTGAATTAGTTTTTTATAATTGAGTACACATGTTTTAGTCACGTTATCTCAATTTAACAGTTAATATACCTAAGTTTAAGTACGGCTTGTTGAGTTAAGTAAGATTAAGTACCTACTTCTACGCCGTTCATATAATTATTTTTCTGTGTGAAATCTCAGCCTAAATACTCACGAAATGTTTTTCATTTTCGATCGTAACTAGTACTTGGAAAATATTCTGCAGTATTAAGGGACAAAACATAGATACGTGAGCGAATATTTTAGAATCGAAATTTCGACAAATTCCAAACTAATATCCTTCATTGTGCTCCGATGCTGCCTTGCTAAAAAAACATTCTTGGATCAACATCTCCATCAAAATCCGTCCATCATACAACCGAGAGTTCTAGACATCACAATTCATAGCCCAATCCATTTTTGCCGCCGACAACTGACATTGAATCATGGTCGTGTGACTTACTAGCACTTTTTCATGACATTTCTATACATCTAACACTTTAAAGGCAGCGTATACGGCTAACAAAAAGTATACATGCAGTAAACATGGGCTAGGAACGTAAGAATGTCTTGCTCGATTTCATGAATATGTAAACAGATAGATATGGGAACTGCGAGATTGGAATAAGCAATCTTAGCCTTTAAAACACACACTACAATACTATTTGGTAAAATATTGAGACAAATGGAGGTGTTTTACAAGGATTTATTTGAATAATTTTTCTTTAAGTTAACAAAGGTCGATCTATACGTTTCATTAATATGATATTTACTTAAAAATACTGGCAGCAAAGAAAAAAAAAACATGTTTCTTTTTTATAAAATTGCGCAATGGCCAGTGTTTCAAAGTTTTGTGTGATAAAAATATAATAATAACTGCTACTTCGACAGTAGCTCCCTGATTAGAATGCGCAAAACGTAGGACAATGGTAACCGCGCATTCTGTACCTACCCACATTTACGGCGTGACGCGTGAGCGGCGAATCGTGCGTGTAATAAAGACTGCGGTTTTCATTTGTTTTGTTTAGTCTGCTAATAAAATAATAATTTAAATATAATTGCAGATTTGCGTTTATATGTATGGTTGGGTGTAATTTTTTCACGGTCAAATCGTTAAATTGCTTCAATTGCTCACCGAAGAAGAGATGAATTATACATACTATCAACTGTTCAACTCATATTCCTTCTTTCATAGTCGGGTAAAGATTTAAACATCACTCATGTTTTTTCCAATAGCGCAAAAAAAAAGATATTGAATAAAATTATCATAAAGTCATACAAGCAAGAGACATCAACGACATAATCAAGTAATACAAGAAAAATACCTATAATTTTTCCGTTAACTTGTACTGGAAAAGAAAGAGCGGTAAAACCACTTGGTATACCTATGTGAATTATGTGACAGATCGCGTTCTATACTAGTCTGGATTGATTACCGGAGACTGCACCCAGTATAAAATCGCAATTTCATATCTGGTTCCGCATATTGGCGTAAGAAACTGGGAGTGGTAGTTTCCTGGTGCCATTTTTCTAGAGAAAAATAAAAAAATATCACGTAGAGTAAGGAATAATCAATATCGGAATAATATCAGGAACTCAGAAACTTTCCATGTTAACCATAATACTAGCTTACACATACATACAGTGTGAGTCTTGATAAAGTGCACATTATGAAAATGGGTAAAAATGTAGAAAAAAATAAAAAATCTCAGATACTTTTTGTAATTTTTTCCTTCGATAAAAATGGGTCTAGTTTCTCCTATTTTCATATGTGCACTTTATCGTACATACATTTTGTTAAATAAAATGCAGCAAAAGTTGACTAAAATTTTTCTAGATAAGTTATACGTACCTATGTATTGAATATTCAATCAATATCATAAAAGCAACACATCCTTCCATCGATTCGTCCCGTTTTATTCGTGTTGATCCTTCTTACCTACTGGATCATAAAATGTAGACTAAAACATATTTATTTTCATTACAGAACGCATCCTGCCCGTGTGATACCGCAGTGAAACTTGAAACTCAGGTACCATAAATTGTAGAGTCTATTTACTACACAATCCACACAGATTACGTCTCTAGAGTTGCATAAAAATTGGTTTTGCATTCAAAACAATCTGTAGGGATACTTTTTTTAATGGGCGAAAGTCTCTCCGAGGCTTTTGTGCGACTGAAATGACGTTAGAAGACTAAGTAAATAATTATAACGTTGTAGGTAAAGTTTGACATTAATAAACTCAAATCGATGGTAATAGCTTTTTATGAGAAGATTGGAGCTAGAGGATGCGGTCTTTCAGTACCCACAGGGTTTCTATCAAACACTAAATGGTTCTGGGTTCAAGCCTAGACGGCCGCCAAAAACGTAGGAATCACACATTTTTAACCAAATGTCATGCTCAATTAACTAATATCTAATAATGAGTTTTGTCACCAAAAAATTCTTCATTTGTTTTAATAAAAATCTTACACTCATCAAACCAGTTTCTAATATAAATTATATCATCGTTCATTACACGGCAATAATTTTTATTTCATTAGTGTTTTACAAGCAGCAAATCGAGCATTAAATCAAAAATATTGGCCTTCTAACAGAAGACAATGCGACCGTCATTTGTTATACCGTGGGAGAATCGCGCTCGTTAGAAAGCAATAAATAAATCCACTATTGGAGTAAAAGTTACATAACGTTGACATAAGTTACGCGCCATTATTGTGACGTCATTGAGTCTATTGAACTGGTATCGATCGGCAGCACTACATTTTTTTGCAAGTTGTCTTTAACTTTTTTGCATAGAGAAATGAAACTATGTCGTGTATAACGTAAAAAAAGTACAAGTAATGTTACAGATTTTAAAATAATGGCCATGTAGTGACAATAATAAATGTCAAGTTTTATCTTGGCTATCTTGTCACATTTTGACGTTTCTTAGATGCACAATATCCCATATAGTTCCAAAATACTGAACTGTCCTATCGATGACATTGACAGTGGGGCGCCACCGTCAATACCGAATCGCTGGTTCCGATTTTTGCCATGTTGGAAACCATATAGTTGAACGATGGTAGCGCCCCCCTGTCACTGAGTTTGGTGGGACATTTCAGCTTGGTTCATCTATATCTACATTTTTATTTTTTTATTATTATGTCTGAAGCAAAAGTAGAAATGTATCTGGGAAACGTATTCAAGTAAACAAACATACAGTTTATTCAGTTGTTGGAATATCGACACAAGTGAATTAAAAAAACTGGTTTGTTATCGACTTTGTATGACATTGAACTTCGATCAGAAGGTGAATTGGTTCAATCAACGTATTAATTGAATTTTTAAGCAATTTTGTCTGTTAATTGACAATATTTCCGACTGTTATCTAATTGATTTAGGATTGAATTAGAGTAAAACGATACAATTACTTAAAATAATATAACAGTCGTTTGGTGTATTTAGTTTATATTAACTATCATGTAATGTTCTTGACCAAGCAACCAGAACCGATTAATTAAAAAAAGTTGATGAGTTCCGAAATGAGTCATTCTCACGCTAATCTCATTATTTGTAGTTCCGCAAGATAATAAATATTTCTCGGAACAAAATCCGACATTCTCCGCTGCATGGCCCACCAGTCACTTATGAATGGGCTACGTCACAGCTGACTCACACAAACTTTTTGCACTACTCATGGCCATACGATGAACTTCTTTAGATTTTTTTTTGGGCGTGTAATTTTCACGGATCATTGCGGCCAGTTAAAAAAGTGGAAGCTGTTTGCAAGTAACCTTTTTATGATGATGGCTTAGTTTGCGTTTAGCCAAAAGGTTTGTTTACCAATTCTTTTTTTTTGGAAGCGAGAAAGGTACAGACCTATTTTGTTAGACGTCAAAATAAAGAAAAGAGGATCAGTGCATATTAAATATGCGGTTTCTCAAGTGCCCTTAGTTTTCATATTTAAAAGTACTACTTCAAACATTAACAGTAAAAGTAGTTAAGCTGACGCTGAGTGAGTACTTAAAATAAATACTACAGGATGCAACTGACATCACCAACTAGCTTTACAACCTCTTGTATATTGTTCTCTATTCTCATTCGAAATTGTGTCATTGTGTGACTGACTAGCACAGAATGTATGTTTATGTATGACACTCCCATACATTGAAATGTACCGTTGGAATCCGTTTTAATTTTCAACACAATCTGGTTCATTTGAATAGTATAAAGCAAAGTTATCCAAACATAATATAGGTACTTACTACAAAGGTTTTTATATTTGGTACTTTAATGGCTACTTTACCAGCACTTATTTTAAGTATAATAAACACCCTGATGTGTTATAACAATACATATTATAACCATGCGTGCCTCCTCTAATACATAAATAATGACGTTTTGATCGTTAAGATGGCGGGAAATGTCACTTCATTGATTTTCGTGTGAATAGAACTTTCTTCGCCGAGGGCATAACTTATTTTTGGTTGTTTTATTTTTACAAAATTGACAGTTACTTACCAGTTTTGATAGGATTCGAAGTTCAAATTTCAGTTCTCCCCTTCTTTTCTTTTTTTATTTTGTTTTTTGGATCTTTTCAAACAATGGTTGCTTTTAAGTGGTTATTATGAATAAGCGTTTTAAAGTCATTTAAAACCTTTTAACTATTGCAATATCCCCTGTAATTACTTGCTTAATGAGTTGTAGAGTGGTTGTAGTCTAGTTTATCTAAAATAGCAACACGTAAGATATTTTTAAAAGATATCACTGCGTTCAAAACAAAAGAAACTATAATAAACAAAAGTCAGCACTTATTTGAATGTGACGTTCTTTTGTTTTTTTTTTAGATCCTTTTCTATTTTTTCCTTGCACAAAATCAATTTGAACTCAATTCCTTTATTTATCATTAATCTTTATGTCAGTTTTGGGAACATTCTCCTTGCTAAAGACCGTAACGAAAACAATCAGCTGATGTATCATACATTTTATATTGGGACAGCTCTATGGGCTTGCAAACGAAATGACTGTTCGAGCTAAATATCATTTTATATTAATTTACTGACATAAAAGAATGGGAAAAGTTTAGTTGTTTAGATCAATTAAAACGTTATCACCAGGTTATTTAGTCACTGGAGGAAGACGAAATCCCTCTCTCAATACTCAATTTATTTATTGCTTCCATAATGTTTACAAAAGGTGCTATTGGTTACCACAGACAAAAGGAAGCATTTAGCCTAAAAATTTTGAATAATTCTTTAAATTTTAACTTCCTTGTCTCAATAATAAATTGTTTAACAGTAAACCACAGATTACCAAGCGACAATACATGCATCGCAATTATTGATTAGTCTATGGTAGTGTCAGCCTTAACCGCCATGACGCCAACCTCAATATGACATAGACAATCGAACAAGGCAGCAAGCACGACACCGTTGCTCTATGTGTGTTGCATAATAAAAAAGTAAAACGAGTTAAGTGTAAACCAGGACTCATAGATTCGGTTCCGTGTACTTTTCGCGGGCTGGAAATGTCTTTTTTTCATTGATTCTAACGCTGAGTTGCACCACTTAACTTTGATCGTAAGTATAACGATAACCGGAGCTTTTTGTATGGAGTTTGACAGATTTTTGACGTTTGTCAAAATTAAAGTAAAATTGTGCAACTCAGGCTAAGTATAGCCTATTATATCGTAACTAACAGACTCTACATTTTCCTTTGGTAGATAAGAACATGCAGTCGTCGGTAATGTGGTCCAAAAAGTCGAATGAATTTGGACTACTCAGTCCCTATAGCTTTAACTTTGGCAAGAAGTGTAAATTAATACTATGTACTTAGCGGTATTTGATCATACTTTCTGTTCCCTTGTATTCTCAAAGAATATTATCATAATAAGAATATAGAAAAAGTTTCGAGTAAAACATCATAAAGCAGTCTTTTTACAGACAAAGAATACAGAAAGACAGTAAGTAAGTTACTGTCGACTCTACATCAAAATAAGCTTTAAAAAACAGCTTTTTCCTTTAGCCAGCTGAACCCAAACCTATAACTCGAAACGCGGAAAGTAAGATTCCGATGGATTCCATTTCTACTTACAAAATTACGTAAGTCACGAAATTATCGCGTTGAAAACAATGATGCTCGTTAAAACGACCAATTACGCAACTCGTGAGCTTCGATCGATCGCGTGTCACAATCGAATAATTTGGTAAAAAATCGATAGATATTTCAGACATTCGGTTATTATTGCACGCTTAAAAAGTCATTTATGCGAGTAGGTAATTACAACAATATTTCAAGAAAAGTGTTAATACTGTCGTGTAATAATCGAATAGAAACCGTGTTACAATCTATTTTAAAAAACTGTATTGAAAGAAGTGAAAGAAATAATATTAAACTAATAACATTATGAAGTTAATTAAGTGTCTCCTGCGCAATAGATTTTATTTAGTTTAATCTATTAGGATCATTTAATAAAATAAATGACTGTCAAGCAATGTTTATATTTTATTACGAGAACTATTTTTTTTTACTTTTTATCTGTTAATTATTTTAATCGACACTTAATACGACTATCATAATTACGTTGCAATGATTGAACTACATTAGGCATGCACGCACGGACAATCTAATCATCGAGTAAAAAGTAAAATGTCTTCCTAGTGCATTGTCGTAAGTTCGTAACTGGCCGGTAGGTACGACTCTCGGCGCGTAACTCCACGACGTGGATAGGGATGCGTTTTTAAAAATTCAAATCGAATGATTCTATCAGTATTCTTTTTTTAAATAATGATCCTGTGTAGCCAGTGTTGATGCATTTTCAATCACCTTTTTTTTAGAAGTCTGTCAAAAAGTTCATAAAACCATGACGGCAGCGCAGCATTTTGTCATTACATTTATTACTAACTTAGTCATCCAAGTGATTCGTTGAATTTTAATACATATTTGAACCAGTAACACAATGTTTCATATAAATCCAGGTTACCAGAACCAGGACCCTTGTATTATAAACGTTTGCAATAAATGCATAAAACTTGTGTTAAAGATGT